TTGAATTATGGTGTTGGTGAAGAATACTGAATATACCATGGACTTCCAGAAGAATGAACAAATACATCTTGGAAGAAGTACAGCCAGAATGCTCTTTAGAAGTGAGGATGGCGAGACTTCATCTCACATACTTTGGACATTTTCTGAGGAGGGACCAGTCCCTGGAGAAGGACATCATGCTGGGTAAAGTAGAGGGTCAGTAAAAAAGAGGACCACCCTCAACAAGATGGATTAACACAGTGGCTGCAACAATCAGCTCAAACATAGCAATGATTGGGAGGATGGCACAGGACTGGCCAGTGTTCCGTTCTGTTGTACATAGGGTCGCTATGAGTCTGAACCGACTCGATGGCACCTAACAACAACATGTTTCACACACTTGGGGCTGTACCTGGTGGCAAGATCTGAAAAATAATTCAGACTAAGGTATTAAAGGTTAAGGTTTTAATGTGTTTGTCCTGTCAGGGAGTATTTTTGCATTTTAACTGGGGACTTTGATTTGTCATTCCAAAACAGACAGAGCCAGAAGAAATTTACTTATCAAGAAGGCTGGTGAGGAAGCTGTTTTGCCCTTAAGCCATGGAATCCTACCTACCTGGGAGCAGAGCTGGTGCCTCCAAGCGTTCCCTTCTGTAACCCACCAACATGCCGTTCCATTTTTTAATTTGATCCAGAGATCATGCACTAAAAACTGTTTGCGTTGTGTAAAACTTTAATGTATAATGTATTATGTTTATACATTAAAAAAATAAATTGTGCAGATGTCTGACTATATAGAGAGAAACTTTTAAACTATTTTAGTTCAAATTCTATACACTTAAAACCTGTGTGACTTTGGCCAAATCATTTCACTTATAATATAGGATTATTATGAGGAATAAGTTAGACATATGTGGCAAACCCTAGCAAAATGACAGGGAAATAGCAGACACATGAGTAGGACGTATCTAATTGGAAGCAGAAAACTTCACAGCTCCTATGGATCTGGTACTACTTACACTACTACTAATACAAATAATCAAAATGATATATTCATCAGGTAGGATAATTTTAACAGAAAAAATTACAAAGAGTAATACAACAGCAGCCATTTTAAATTTCGTTTTCTGCATTTATTTACAGTATTACTAGGTTAAGATGAAAATCAAAGAATATGGGCATAGGTAGATTTGAAGCATCACCAACGATTGTAACAGGCCTCCCATGAGAAAATATTTCTTTAACATTAGGATTCCTTCTTGGCATCTTTCCTCATGGGACTTGTTCTTTCATTGAATTACTCATTTTAATTGAGAATTATAAAACCACACAGGGGATATTATCATGCTGAGATCAAAATGACTGAAGTTTTCATAGACTTCATTTTTTGTGGGGTAGGTTGACGATAGCATGCTCCAGCTTAATTTAATAGATAAACCAGATCTGTTTCTTAAGTACAGAAAATAGATGGAATAGTGTTTGTTTTTCACAGCCAAGGTCTAAATGATTGTATTTCTAATTTTCATCTTCCACTAAAATATTCCCAGAAACTTTCATCAATAAAATGTGCTATTTCTTAACCTTACTGTTACAGTCTGATTTTTAAACTGCTGCTACTAACTTTAGGAAAACACACTCCCACTCATATTTCCTATGGATGTCTTCAGATCCCAAAATTTTCCATGATCCCATTCCTCAATTACACTTCGAAAATGTCACCCTATAAACAAAACAGAAAGTCAATGAAATGTGTAAAGAGAAAGGTTAATGGTATAACAAGATCAGTTCATACCAAAATATTTAAACTCAGACTTAGAGTTAACACCTACATATACAGAATACAAACATAAACCTTTATATCTTAAGAGTAATCTGGCACATGGCATGAGGTTGCCCAAAAATGTGACAGCAAAATAAACATTTTTTAAAAATTACTAGGTACTAAGATTCTAGAACATCAGATAATTTGAAGAACCATAACATTAGTAGGAGCTGTGTAAATGATGTAATTCATAATTTTTATTTTTAAACATTAGGAATCTGAGACCCAAAGAGTTTAAGTATTTGCCACGATTTAAAAAACGGTTTGCATCAGAGCAAGAACAGAACACTACTTCCTTGCTTCCTGCTTGAAGCTATTTCCAGTATATTGTGATGCTATTTTAGATCTGGATTCTACTTGAGAAAAGCAAATGAAAGGACATGTTTATGGAAAGCTGAAATCAAAGAAGGGCAATGAGAGGAAATCTATCAGAGGGTAAGAAGAACTGAATAATCTAGCTCAAAAATCCTTCCTTCTCATTCCAATCACATGAAATTTTCATTGCTTTTTCTCGTCTTTGAGTTTGTACATTTATAAACATCCATCTCACGACTTTGGAAAAAGTCCCACTCATTCATTTCCCATCCATTAATGTTCAAAATAAATATCTTTTCCTGGACACCTACTACAATAATAAAAATACCTAACATTTATTGAACAGTCAACCTGTGTTCCCAAATGAAGACCACAGATTGGTGGCCATGTATCACCTTCACACAACTACTCCTTTCTCACAAAGCCACTGTGCTGCATTCATTCCTCTTGTGACACTCACTGTTCTAAAGAATATGGAATTTGAAGATACGCAGTCTGAGTTCAAGCCATAACTCTGCATCTTAATAGCCATGCCTCACTGAGCAACTTACTCTTTGCTTCAGTTTCTTCATCTATTAAATGGGGATAGTAATACTATCTCACTGATAAAAGGTATTAGCCCTATAAAGGTAAGGTTAGCTATTATCATTAGTTCATATTCAGTTATATATTTTCCTAAACTCCACCTCCAGAACAGAAAGCTCTTTGAAAGCAGGAACCATGTTTGACTCACCTTTTTATGTTTAGTGTGTACCATGGTACTTTACTCAAAAGAGATGATCAACTTGTACTGTGGTCCTTGTGGAACAGATGTTCATCAAATGTATTTTCTCTTCCTGGGCGTGCAGCTAAATTACAGTTCCTAGTCGATTGCAGCAGGGTGGTACTATGTAACAAGTTCTCACCAACGATATGAGCTGAAGTGACTTGTCATTTCTGGACTGAGGCAGTTAAGAGTCGTTTCTCTCCATGCTTTCTCGCTTCCTAATCAGCTGGTTGGATGTTGAACTCCATGCATTGAAGATGGTGGAGCAACCATCAGTCTGGCTCTCTAAATGACTCTGTGGAGCAAAAACCCCCCTTCCTAACCGTTACAATCTGCACTGAACTGTAAAATAAGAAAGGGAAAAAAAAAACTCTTTGATGTGTTAAGCCAATTGGATTTTGCTGTTGTTTGCTACTGCAATTAGCCTGCACTGGTTAGTATAGGATCTGTCAGCCAGATACGACACATAAGAGGAGAAAAAAATGAAATAGCCATTGAGGAAATGATTTGTTATTTTCAGTGTTCCTAGCAGCTCTTCTCCCAGAAGTTACTTTTTCCTCCAAGAATCACAGGAATAAAGTATTTTAAACCTGGAGCCCTGGCAGAGCAATGGTTAAGTGCTTGGCTGCTAACCAAAAGGTCAGCAGTTTGAACCTACCAGGGGCCTGAGGGTGAAAAGGCCAGGCGATCTGTTCCCATAAAGATTATAGCCTAGGAAACAGGATGATGCAGTTTTACTCTGTCCTATAAGATCACTATGAGTCAGAATCAACACGACTGCAAAGAACAACAACACCAATGTATTCTACAGATTCAGCATCCACAGAAAATATTGTATGAGCAAAGGTTTTTAAAAAGGGTTTAAAAACTATTGCATTACAGCATATACTCTTTATTTTCTTTATAATCATAGCATGTATGATGATGTCCTTCTCCAGGGACTGGTCCTTCCTGATAACATGTCCAAAGTACATAAGACGAAGTGTTGCCATCCTTCCCTCTAAGGAGCATTCTGGCTGTACTTCTTCTAAGATAGATTTGTTCCTTCTTCTGGCAGTCCATGGTGTATTCAATATTCTTCACCAACACCATATTTCAAAGGCATCAATTCTTCTTCGGTCTTCCTTATTCATTGTCCAGCTTTCACACGCATATGAGGGGATTGAAAATACCCTGGCTTGGTCAGGCACACTTTAGTCCTCAAGGTGACATCTTTGCTTTTTAACACTTTAAAGAGGTCTTTTGTAGCAGATTTGCCCAGTGCAATACGATGTTGGATTTCTTGACTGCTGCTTCCATGGGTGTTGATTGTGGATCCAAGTAAAATGAAATCCTTGACAACTTCAATCTTTTCTCCATTTACCATGATGTTGCTTATTGATACAGTGGCTGCAACAATGGGCTCAAAGATAGCAACAATTGTTGGCACAGGACCAGGCAGTGTTTCATTCTGTTGTACACAGGGTCAGTATGAGTTGGAACCGACTCAACAGCACCTAACAACGACATAGCATGTATAACCAAAACAAAAAACAAAAAAGTTGCTGTCAAGTCAACTCTGATTCATAGCAACCCTACAGGACAAAGTAGAACTGCCCCACAGGGTTTCCAAGGAGTAGCTGGTGGATTCGAACTGCTGACCTTTTGGTCAGCAGCCGAGCTCTTAACCACTGCGCCACCAGGGCTCCATTACATGTATAGACACAGGATAAATATTAAGTAAACAATAAACCAAAACCAAACCCATTGCCATCCAGCCGGTTCCAACTCATAGCCCCTATAGGACAGAGTAGAACTGCTCCCTGGGGTTTCCAAGCTGTAAATCTTTAGGGAAGCAGACTGTCACATCTTTTCCCATGGAGTGGCTAGCGGGTTCAAACTACCGACCTTTTGGTTAGCGGTTGACCGCTTAACCACTGTGCCACCAGAGCTCCTTAAGTAAACAATAGATCAAGCTAAAACTTTAAACACTGATTTTTCTGTGTTTGCCTTAATGGAATCCTAAAAAAGATATCAGATTCATCTTCCTAAAATATAAATTTTATAATGGTAGCTTCTTATGTAAAAACCGATAATAATTCTCAGCTGCCAATCTGATGCTGGCATTCAAGACTCCTGGTGCTCGCCTCGGTAGCACATATACTAAAATTGGAATGGTAAAAAGAAGACTAGCATGGCCTCTGCACATGGATGACTCGCAAATTCATAAAGTATTCCATATTTCTGTGATAGTCGTGAGGAGTGTGCCTCTTATTTCAAGTAGATACAAGAGACTAAACGGGCAGCTTCTGTCCAGAAGTGAGATGGAAAGGCAGAGAGGGTTAGGAGAGTAATTAGAGTCACATAACAACATATGTATAAATTTTTGTATGGGGAAAAAAAAAAGACTCCTGGGCCCACCTTACTTCATCCTTTAAGATAGGAAGTCATCGTAGGTAAAAACTCAAAGTCCAGAATCCAAGTTCTCAGGTTTGAATCCTGCCTCTGCCACTAACTGTAATCTTGATCAAGTTATATAACCTCTCAAGCATCAGTTTCCTCATCTGTAAAGAGAGAAATGTCTCATGAAGTTGTTAAAAGGTTTAAATGGATTAATGTATCTAATGTTCTTGGAATAGCATCTGACACAAAGTTCATGATCAGTAATACTAGTTATTACTGTGGATACACAACATTATCAAATTTTGTAATATAATTTATGTTCAAGGCACTCTGCCAGGTGTGTGGAAGAATCATCAAAACATAAGGCATAGTCCTCGCCCACAAGAACTCATTGGGTCAGGGAGAAAAGTATTGAACTGGAAAAATTAGTTCTAGTAGGTGTACAATATATGTTTAATTGAAATTTTAAAGGGAAGGCTTATACCATGCTTCAAATATATTTCTTGAAAGCAAGCCTCATACCCAAACCCCTTTTCATAAAATGTTTATTTAGTTGTTTTTTTTTTTAAACTACATATTCAGCATTTTACTTAAAGGGAGAAAAATAATTTTTATATTCAGAGATTTAAACATGTTTGGGATCAAAAATGGTATTTCAAATAAAAGTAAATATCAGTTAGCTATATCCTAAACTTAAAGCTGGTTAAGGCTTGTTAATCTTGCTAAGTATATTTGTTATGTATGCAAACAAGAAATAAACTGTATAGTATTTTTTCTCCACAAAGATTATTTTCAATAGTTTTTAGAGATCAGTTCACTCTGAGATTAAATATGCAAAAGAATAGCTTTCCCCATATTTTATTCCTTTAGAATATTTTAACAAAGGATTACCTCTTCTGCTATGAACACTTTTATGTTTTTTAACTTACAGTATCTCCTGATTTTACCTTACTACTTCTGGCTCTGTCACCTTGAATCAAAGCCTTCTCTTGATGTTTTTTCAACCTTTCAAATGCTTGTAGACAATGATGGAGGTAGGGAGAATGCCAGCAAACACAGTCCCAAGACCTCTTTGCCCCACCAGCACGCAACTCATTTAACAGTATACAAATGATTTAACAGTTATACCAGCTGAGTTCCCACAGGAAATCATTTCCATTCCCACCACTGCTTGCAGATGGAGGTCATGTTTCCCTCCCTCCTTACTCACTGCTCAGCCAAACTATTCATATTTACATAATTCTCCCAGTAGTGTTAGGGAAACTTTTTGAAATCAGAGCAGTTCATAGAGTTGTACATGCAGAAAGAGTTGCAGAATGGGAGGATTGAAGAGCTCTTGGGCCAGAGAATGGATAAATTTGTGTTTCTGCCTGTCCTGAATATTCCCCATTTGCCCCTCAAGATCCACTCTCCACCCTGCTCTGTTCCATTGGAGGCTGACTCGTATGAACCCCATCAACAGGCTCTCTTTCTCTGACTTCCTATTGGGTTTGGTCAAGCTGAGGCACTGAGGAGACTGGAGGGCAGGAAGAAACTGGAGTCGGGGTATTTACTCTCTGGCTCCCTCCCCGCAGTACCTAAGGTTGGCAGTCGCTATATTCCTATACCTACAACCACAGCTTATGTTGGATGGTCGTCTCTTACAGTTACAAATAGTGTCTCAAAATCAGGTAACAGTTCCTTTTCCTTTCTTCTTTAGGCCTTAGGTTGTTAACATCTGTCTCCTCTACCAATGCTAGTCCCAGGGTTATTCACCATCGCTTTTTAGTTTCCTTTAATCCTACCCACTTCTTTGTAAATAATTTCTTCACTGAAGTCTCTTCAGCTGTCCCCTGTGAGTGTGCTCTTTTTCTTACTGGGACCCTGGCTGATATTGCTGTAAACTTGGGTTACACAGAGAATATCAGATAACCTCAACTAAATCAAAATAGGTGGGCACTCTAGATGAAAGGCCCCCTGGTGATGCAAACAATTAAGCATTCCGGCAGCTACCTGAAAGGTTGGTAGTTCAAACCTACCCAGTGGCTTGGTGGTAGAAAGACCTGGTAATCTGCTTCCATAAAGATTACAGACAAGAAAACTCTATAGGGTAGTTCTACTTTGTGACATCTGACATCAGCTACGAGTCAAAAACAACTCCACAGCATCTAACGACAACTCTTGGTGTCATCTAAATAACAAGTTTGTTGCTTGTTTGTTTGTTTTCTTCCTGAAAGCTCAGTGGAATGTTTGCCTTATTGGGAATGTGGAAATAAGCGAAACTTTAAGGCAGTGCTGTTCAGAAAAAAATGATCAGAGGTCTGTTAACCTTCAAAGTTCCCCAGGAAACTTATTTCTATCATGTGTTAATAACCTTAGGCATTCCTCGCAAATGACAGTAAACACTCCAATTTGAAAGGACCAACTCATTGCACAGTAAAATGATACTGACCTGGGAGCTAGAACCTGGTTCCAGCCTCAGCTCTTCCACTACCCAGTTGTATGTCTTTGGCAAGTCACTTAATTTCTCTTACTTCACTCTTTTTTCAGTTTTCAGTAGGACAAAGTTATAATTCCTGGCCTTCTAGATCCTGTCATACTTTTAATATAGGCACAGTCCTTCTTTCACAGTAAAATCCACTGGTGAATTACTGACCTGATCGTATGCGCCAGATTCTGAGGTCTGTCTTTTCACATGGCCCATAAACCATTCTACATTGTCTTCAGTTACAGTCAATGAGAGAGGAGGGGGTCTGCCCTGCAGAATGTGCACTGCTGTCTACTCAGTTTAAGCAGGCAGTGACTGTTTTTCACCTCTGACCCCTCCAAACTCCTTGTCTGTTAGGTGGTCTCTGTGAACTTAGATCCATGTGTAAATCAGGACTTTTTCTGGCCTGGGAAGGTTGGACCAACATAAATGTAGCATCGTCTGATGCCTGGTTTTTTGATGAACAGCCTGAGTATCACATTCAACTTCTTTCCTAATAAATTAAGTCTTTTCACAATTCTGTTTTTTTAGCATACTATTCCCTCTGTCCAAAATGCTTATATTCAAGTTGGCAAGCCTCTCCTTTTCCCTCAAAACCCTGTTCAAATATCATTTCCTCTGTGAAACTTTTTCCTGCACTCCCACTCCCTCCTCTGCTCTCCTGCAGCACACCCCTCCTCTGGTCCTCCCGCCTCTACTAGTATTGTCTCACATTGCACTGTACTTATCTGCTTACTTACAGCACACCTCCCACCAGTCCCCCGGGGCCATGGGCTCTTCTGCATCACCTTTAGGGGCCAACGCAGTACCTGACATAAAAATCTACATAATAAATGATAAAAACATTACCGTATAAATGTATGAATAAATGAAATACCTTTCCAAAGACAGGACTGCAATATATACTTGCTTTGGTGTTTTTTTTTTTTTCTTTTTTTGGAAGTATTGCAATTTTTTTATTGTGGTAAATATATATATAATACATTTGCCTTTCAACATTTTTCATATGTATAATTCAGCAACATTATGGTCCCCATGTTGTACAACTATCACCAGTATCTGTTTCCAAACAGATATTTTTTCATCACCCTTAACAAACACTTTCTACCCCATTTAAGACTAGTGATTCTGCCTCAGTATGGATTTATCCTAAAGCACAGAAACAACTAGCCTGGCCAGGAGCAAAAACAGCAATAATACAAGAAACCACAGTAGCAAGATAATCTAAAATTCTCAGTTATGGAAAAGAGGTACAATACTTTTGAAATAAAGCTGCCCCATAAATAGAGGTAGAGCTAGGAATATGAGAATAAGGGGAAAGAGATGCATTAAAGGAAATTATATTCATTTGCTGCTGCTGTTGTTTATATTGTGTTGTTGTTCTTGTTGTTGTTTTCCCAATGCCTCCCACAAGCTGAACAAAATGGACTGGTCTGGAAAAGAAAATAAGTCTGCAGATAAGTTTGCCTTTACCTCTACAAATCTCTTATTAGGCCTAGTATATGTTGTTACAACTACTCTAGTGAAAAATATCCATGAAGTCAACACATTTTTATTGTGGGCTTATAAATTGTGGCTCTAGGAATACAAAGATTATTAAGACACAGTCCCTATCCTTGTCTTTGAGAACCTCATAGTCTAGCTTGGGAAACATACTCATAAACAACTTATGATAATTCAATGTGATAAATGCTGTAAGAGAGGTATGAAGAGTTAGAAGCATAGATGAAGAAGTAGTTAATTCTCAGTGACAGGTAGGGTAATATTGGTCTTGGACGTTTTCAGGGGGAGGTGAATTTAGATCTGAGTATTGAAGAATAAATACACATGTACAGGAAGAGAAGGAAAGCAGAGTATATGTCAGGGAGAGAATAAGCCATTGTTGTTGTTGTTAGATGCCATCGAGTCAGTTCCCTACACACAACAGAACAAAACCCTACGCACAACAGAACAAAACACTGCCCAGTCCGGCGCCATCCTCACAATTGTTGCTATGTTTGAGGTCACTGTTGCAGCCACTGTGTCAATCCATCTCGTTGAGGGTCTTCCTCTTTTTCACTGAACCTCTACCTTACCAAGTAAGATATCCTTCTCCAGGGACTGATCCCTCCTGATAACATGTCCAAAGTATGTGAGATGTAGTCTCACCATCCTTGCTTCTAATGAGCATTCTGGATGATTCGAGAAGCTGGACTATATGAAGAAGAACAGGGTATCATGACTGGAGGAAGACTCATTAACAAGCTGCGTTATGCTGATGACATAACCTTGCTTGCTGAAAATGAAGAGGACTTGAAGCACTTACTGATGAAAATCAAAGACCACAGCCTTCAGTATGGATTACACCTCAACATAAAGAAAACAAAAATTCTCACA